ATATGACGACACCAAGGGAGAACTGGTGTAAGCAGGTCTCCTTGACCTGATGTTCTTTGGTGACTCACTATTCCTACACATAGCACTTCACTTAGGGACTAAAAGAACATCAGTGAGTTTATCATAATAAAAGGTATAATGAAATCCTAGTTTCTTCATTATGAAAATATACTGCCTGGCATAAAAAAGTTGCCACCAAAAAAAAAGGTAGTTCACTGTAGTGAATTAATGCTGCACCAATGATTAGAATATAATGGATAAATGTTTAACAATAAATACATTTATGTTATAAAGGCCAAAAAGTCCAAAAGTGTGTGCTCCAATATGGAGAAAAAGAGAGCAGTGTGTGTAAGGCTTTCTGCAGCTGAGCCCTTTGAAGTTTGGTATGAAGATCAGGAGAGGAAAGGACAGGTAATGGGAGGGGGACAGAGGTATTGGACTAGATCCAAAGCTTTGATGCTGCAAGGTTGCAAAGATTAGGCTTTTTAATGATGAAGATGAGGCCTTTTAATGATGAAGTCATACACAATAAGAATATATTATTTTGTCATATCAAGGTTGCACAGCCCAGCTGAACTAATTGTGATATATTTAGTTGTCATATCCAAAGCGATACTGTGCGGTACTGAGCAACACAGAAGTGATGTGTTACTGGGATTTTGAGCATCAAGATTATGCTGACTTTTTTAATGAAAGGTTATAATCATAGGTCACACTGGATAAAAAACTTTGTTTTGACATATTGATGATTAAGACTATGATGAGTTTTTGATTTAATTGCAATATATGTCATCATGACCTGCAAGAGATGTCACCATGACCTGTAACAAAGGCTTTAAATTAAATCTATAAAAAAATATGTTTTGAGGAGGGTTTTCCACCGGTAAGATAAAAATAATTGGACATACCCTTGGAAAATAGTACCTGAGATTATGCAAAATAGGAGGAGCTTGGGGAAAGGAGCCCCCAAGCCCCAGGGGTGAATAAAAGAGGGCCTGTATCTGCATGTAAGTCAGTTGCTCACCGGTGAACAGCTCATGTGGTTGTCTTGTATTTTGCAATAAACCACACTGGACCTGGACCCAGTTGCCTCTGCCTGATTTTTGATCATTGTTTGAAGACTTTTCTACTGCTTTTTAAGAACTTTGAATTTTTACAAGACTTAGCTTAAAATTTTAAGTCGTTGGGAGGACATTTCCACAACATCACTCCAATAATTTGTTGGACCGCCTTTAGCTTTGATTACAGCACACATTTGCCATGGCATTGTTTCGATAAGCTTCTGGAATGTCAAAGGATTTATTTCCATCCATTGTTGCATACATTTTTTTACCAAGATCTTGCATTGATGATGGTAGAGTCTTACAGCAAAGCCTTCTCTAGCACATCCCAAAGATTCTCAATGGAGTTTAGGTCTGGACTCTGTGGTGGGAAATCCATGTATGAAAATGATGTGTCACGCTCCCTGAACCAGTCTTTCACAATTTGAGCCCGATGAATCCTGGCATTGTCATCTTGGAATATGCCTGTGCCATCAGGGAAGAAAAAATCCATTGATGGAATAACTGGTCATTCAGGAAGTCAGTTGACCTCATTCTTTGAGCACATACTGTTGCTGAACCTAGACCTGACCAACTGCAGC